GCGGGAGGCCTCTTCTCTGCGGGACATGTACAGAAGGAGGGGTTCCCGCGCAGGCCCCTGGGATGCTGGACAGTTAGGTTTGCGGGCATCTGACCGCGGGGAGGCTGGGGGCGGGGCGGGGCGGCCCGTACGACTGGGCGGGCAGTGGGGGCTCTCTGAGGGTTCCCGGGCTGCAGCAGGGCCTCACCCAGCGTCTCCATGACCACGGCGGGGATCACCTCCTTCAGGACTTCACAGTTGGTGTGCAGCGCGGGGTTGGAGTTCATCTCGAGCAGCCACACCTGGGCGGACACTGGTCAGCACCCTTCCCCACCCACCACTTGGCCAGCAGGAGGCTGGGGCCCTGGCTCTGTTAGGTCCGGTGACCCTGGGAGGTCGCCTCTTTTCTACGGCCTGACTCCCCACATTTGCCCCAAGGGCCGGCACTCTCAGGGTCTGAGGGTCTGGCCTTTGAGGCTGGCCAGAAGAGCGAAGCCTTTTGGACTCACCACCTGCAGGGCTTGGTGTGGTCTGGCTGCTGAGCCTCCCCCCCACCCCGGGGGCACACCTGCGGGGTCGGGGTGTGGACAGAAGTCCCCGCCTCCTTGCACCTGCCAACCAGGCCCTCCCGCCCTAGCACACCTCAGCAGTACCTTGAAGTTCTCATCGATCAAGAAGTCACACCCGATGAGGTCGAAGTAACCCAGCTTGCACTCGAGCTTGGACTTGACAGCCAGGAAGCAATGGGCCATGATCTGCTGCATCCGCGTCTGCAGGCGGAGCATGGAAGGGTGACTGGATGGCACCTGTGGCCCTGACTGTACCTCCGCAGCCTGAACAGCCATGGCCACACCCCTCACCGCAGCCTCATTCGTGACCCCATCTGCACTCCTACCCGCGTCCTTACCTGCAGGGTCACACCCGCCCACATTTTTGTACCCTTGGAGTGTGGAACACGCTTACAGCCAGAAACGCTGTCACTCTCATTTTGCCCGTTCAGCATACGTGTGGCGCCCCAGTGCATGTCGCATACTAAGGTGCAAGAGTGAAGAGGACGTCTGAGAAATGTCTGCCCTCGAGCAGATCCCTTGTGGCAAGGGGGACAGACAGCAGGTGTGGCAGGCGGGTCATTATGCACTTTGCACAGTGTATCAAGCAATAAGCGCTGACGGAGAACACGAAGTCGAGTGTGGGGTGGGGCTTCAGGGGGCAGCTGCAGACAGGGGCCTTGCCTGTGTGGGCCTCGCTGAGGAGACAGCAAGGACTGGAGGCCTGAGGTGGGGTGTGGGACACCTGGGGGAAGAACAGTAGAGCGTGCTGAGGTGTCAGAGGGACACAGAGAGGCCGCCACGGCTGGGGAGAGCAGGAGGGGAGACTCGAGCGTGCCAGTCACATCGTGGGGGCATGGGAGGTCCCTGCCTTTCACCCTGGGGTCAGCGCTACAGAAGGTAGAGCACAGGAGGGGCAGGTGTGGCCCGCGTGCTAACAAGGCCCTCGTGCCGCTGAAGGGGCTGGAAAGCGGCTGCGGCAATCCAGGCGGATGCGTACAAACGTCACTGACATGCCGTCGACGAGACTTCGGAGCCAAAGACACAGACAGTTGGAAAGTGAAACTTTAGAAAAAGATACCACGCAAACAGTACCCGGAAGAGAGCCGGAACGGCTATATTAATATCAGAGAAAATAGGTTTTAAGACCAAAATTGACATTAAGAAAAAAGGACATTTTATAATGATTGATCGAGGCTGTATAATGATTAATTATAAGCACACGTGCACCTAACGATGGAGCCTCTAAATACACGCAGCAAAACTGACAGAGTAGAAGGGAGGACTCGATGGTTCGATAGCGACAGTTGCGGACTCCAGTCCTCCACTTTCGTGATGGGTAGAACACGAGATGGAAGGTCGGCAAGCCCACGGCAGCCTCACCGCACTGCGAGCCACGGACAGACACCTGGAGGGCGCAGTCCGCCCCGGCGCACGCGGCGCATTCTCCAGGGCATTTCTTAGGACACAGGACAAGTTCCAATCAAACAAAATATGATTCCACCACAGTGGATACAAATTGGACATCAATGAGAGAAGGAAAATGGGAAAATCCACAAATGTGTGGAAATTAAACCGCACACTCTTAAGCGACAAACAAAAACGCAAGCGGGACGCAGACTCTTCTGGCGTCCAGCGAGAGCCACGCCCAGGGACACGGAGAGAGCTGTACGCGCCCGCATGGAGCAGAAACAGGGACCTCCGATCGGTGACCCTGTCTTCAACCGTAAGAAACTAGAAACAGAAGAGGAAGCTACACCCGAAGCGAGCTGATGGGAAGAAAGAACAGACTAGGGAGGACGCATAGGGAACAGAAAATAGAAAACAATGGAGAAAAATCAATGAAACCAAAAGCCGGTTCACTGAGACGATCAACGAAACTGACAAACTCTTAGCTAGACTGGCGCCGAAAATGGAAAAGAAGACTCGAATCTCTAAAATCAGCAAAAGAAGACCTTACACAGAGAGGAAAATGCTCACAACAAGGATTATAACTGCTCATAGAATACTACGAACAATGATATTTTAAACAAATTAGATAACTTAGAAGAAATAAACAAATTGCTAGAAAGACAAACTAAAAAGCCTGAGCCAATAAGAAACAGAAAATCAGAATAACCTATTACAGTTGCGTTAGTAATAATAAAAACAAACAAACAAACAAACAAATAAGCCTTCATAATAGAAAAGTCCAGGACAAGAGGTTTTACTGGTGAATTCTTCCAAACAGTTAAAGAATTAACATTAGTTTTTCACAAACTCTTCAAAAGTAGAAGAGGAGGGGACATGTCCAAAACCAGACAAACACACAAGAAAAGAATGCTATAGACTAACACAGAAATACCCAATGACGCACCAAGTCCAGTCCAGAACCATGTTTAAAGAATAACGTGCCACGTCTGATGGGATTCGTCCTAGAAACGTAGGAGCAGTTGGACCTTCGCATTCCAGTCAGGGTAAGACAGCGCATGAACGGAGCGAAGCATCAGTGTCACAACGGCGCGGTGCAGCTTCGACAGAGGCGTGCACTCTAGTGGCACAGAACCGAGAGTGTCTGGTCAGTTATTTTCAACAATGTGTCAAGAACAGTCTCCTTGACACATGGTGCTGGGACACAGAATGGCCACGTACAAAGGGATGAAGTTGGACCCTTACCTCACACCCTGTGCAAGAATCAACTCGAAGTGGGTCAACGACCTACATGTAAGAGCTACACCACAAAACTTTCAGAAGAAAACATTTTAAAGTCTTTCCAACCTTGGACTTGGCAATGGATTCTTTGAAATGATCTCGAAAGCACGAATAACTGAAGAAAAGAGATAAGTTGGACTTCATCAAAATCTAAAACTTCTGTTCAAAACAGAAAAGGAAAAAAAGAACTCACAGAGCAGGAGAAAATGCCTGCAGACCGCATGCTGATGAGGGCAGAGCATCCAGAACATATAAAGAACTCTTATAGCCCAACAAGGAAGGACAGACAATGGATCTGAACAGAAAACTTTCAAAAGAAGACGTACAGATGGCCAACAAGCACATGAGAAGCCTCGATGTCATTACCATTAGGGAAATGTCAATCCAACCCACAGTGAGAGACCACTTCACGCCCCTGGACGGCTGCTAAAAATGGAAAAAGAAAAAGCCTTGGCAAGGGTACGGAGACACTGGAACCCTCAGACATCGCTGGTGGGAACGTGAAATACTGCAGCCAGCGTGGAACACAGGCTGGCACGTCCTCCAAAAGGTAAACGTGAGAGTTTCCACGTGACCTCACGATTCCAGCCCTAGGTATACACCCGAGAGAGATAAAAATCCATGTTTGTGCAAAAACTTGTAAACGCACACTCACAGCAGCATTAGTCACAATAGACAGACAGTGGAAACAACCCAGATGTCCGTCGACTGATGAATGTTTATCTAGGCAAACCGTGGTCCAGCCCTGGGGGGGGGATCGCTAAGCTGTGGAAACCGACACATGCTGTGACCAGGTGTGCCGTGAACACGTGACGCGGAGAGCAAGAAGCCGGGACAGGCCCCGTATCGGCGACTCCATTTACGTGAAGTACCCAGAATGGGGAATGTGTAGGGAGAGCAAGCAGAGGAGTGGCTGCCAGGACCCGGGGGAGGGGAACGGCGGGCGACGGCTAATGGGGATGGGTTTCTTTTGCGGAAGATGAAAATGTCGTGAAATTAGGTAGTGGTGGTAATTGCGCAACTTCGTGAATATACTGAAGCCACTGACCCACGTGCTTCGAAACGGCGAATTTTATGCCACGTGGATGATCTGATTAAGAGAGCGAGAGATGGAGACAGCTCCGAAAGGCCAGCTCCCACCACCCGGTCATCCACACAGACACACACTGTCCAGTCCGGACGCGCCCTCCCTCCCCAGGACCTTCCACGCCCAGCCCCGTGCAGACGACGCCCTCGCGCACCCCAAGGACCCTGGCCCCACCCCCCAGGCCACAGACCGTGAAGGCGGTGAAGACCCAGTCCCTGGGGAGGCCTTTGGTCTTCCGGAACTTGTCGTTGATGTAGCGGTTGAGGTGGTCCATGCTCCACACCGTGTCCTCCTTCAGCAGCATGTAGAGGGGGCTCTTCTTCTGCATGAACTGGGGGGCAGGGTGGCGCCTGGAGACCCCGCACCAGGACCCTCCCAAGACACCGTCTTCCACTGAGATGCTCTCAGCCGTGGAGCCCCTCGCCGACCCTCAGGGTGGGCCCTGCTCACTCTTCCCATCGAGGACCCTCCCCGGTGGCCTCTGGCCCACAGGTGTCTTCACCGAGGACCCTACAGAAACCCTCAGTCCTCCCCAGCCCCATGTACCCAGAGGGGACCAAGCTGGGGCTCTGGTCACTTCGCCAGGATGCCCTGCTGTGGCCGAAGCTGAGGTACTATAGACTGCCACGAAGGCAGCCCAGGCCACCTCCGGGCCTGGCCACCTCGGGGCCCGAGCCATGTCTACAGCTGTCTCTCCTCTGTGTCCCTAAGCAGTGGTCTTGCCCCCGGGCTGCAGGGCGTGCGCTCACCTGGTTGGTCAAGTGGCCACTGAGATCTCTGGAATGGGGGTCGTAGAGGCCGAGGGTGAGGCGCGCGTAGCCGTGGCGGAAGAAGACCATGTGGGGCACCGCGCAGGCGATGAGCAGGTAGGCTCGCACGTCGAACTTCCTCCCGTCCAGCAGCAGCGGGTTCTGGATGTACCTGGGGGCACGAGAGTTGAGCCCGGGGCCGGTCGGCCTGGGCCAGCTCCTCAGCACTCCCGCCACCCGTCCCAGGTGTGACCACCCCCCCGCCCCCAGCTGGGCGCAGAGTTGGCAGCGGTATTTCTGAGCCTGGATGGAAGTGGACTGCGCCCGTGGGCAGGGAGGACTGCCTGCGGGAGGGGAGGGCTGACGTTGGGCCTGGAAGGGTGAGTGGCACTGGGGAGCCAAGGAGGGGGCATCCCAGGTGGAGCGACTATAGGACTATGGCCCCAGAGGCTGGGAGCAGCTGCTTGGGATGGAACCGGGGGTGGGGGCAGGGGCAGCGACCGCGGCTGTGACAGGTGAGCATCCACACTGGAGATGGGGAGTTCCAAAGGGAGCTTCGGGAGGCCAGACTGAGCCCTCCAGTGTGAGGCCGGAGTATGGGCCTCACCCAGAGGCAGGGGATGGGGAAGGGACAGCCAGCTCTGGCTGCAGGCTGCACTGCCTGGGCAAGAGCTGGGGGAGAAGCTGGCGGTAGGGACACTTGCCAAGGGTGGGCTCTCTGCAGGGCAGAGGGGCAGGGCCCGGGCTGAGGGACAGAATGACCGAGCCTTCCGTGCCCCACCCCCATGTCCAGGATCCTCTGCGCAGGGGCCCATCTCTTTTGCGAACCCAACTGGATGTGATACCTCCACCTCTGCTGGCTGCACAGGGGACCATGTGGGGACACCACAGCTGAGCACTCCTCTGTGGGCCCGAGGCTCCCAGGAGCCCTCACAGGCACCGGTGCGGCCCAGGACCAGCCCCGCCCCACCGACGCCCCACTGGCGTCCAGGCCAGTACCTCTGCACAACCCGGGCCTGAGGCACCCGGAACGCCGTCTTGCGGCAGGTGAGGTCGCTCTCCGCGCTCTGGGTCTTGGCCTGGAGGGCAGCGACTTCCTCCTGGCTCCTGAGCAGAAAGATGCCTTTGCCCTGGTTGCAGGCGGTGGGCTTGCAGATCCACATCTGGGTTTCTGCAGAGAGCGCCGCCTGAGCCACCGGTGGCCCCGCCCACGCCCACCACCGACCGCGTCCCCGACACACGCCCCCA